GCCATGCGCAGGTGTGTGTGGCGGGAGGAGGCCATGCACAGGTGTGGGGGGGCTGGAGGAGGCCATGCGCAGGTGTGTGGGGGCTGGAGGAGGCCGTGCGCAGGTGTGTGTGGGGGCGGGAGGAGGCCGTGCACAGGTGTGTGTGGGCGGGAGGAGGCCATGCACAGGTGTGGGGGGGGGCGGGAGGAGGCTGTGCGCAGGTGTGTGTGGGAGGAAGACTCGGGCCCTGCGGTCCCTGCTGTCTCCCTGGCCACGAGAGGTCGTATGACCTGGGACCCTCTTGCAGGTCGGTCCGCTGGCTAGACAGATGCATCGCAGCCCACAAGCATCGGGACAAGCAGAACCTGTTTGCCATCATCCAGGGTGGACTGAATGCCGATCTGCGGACCACTTGCCTGAAAGGTAGAGTCAGGTGCTGGTGGAGGTGGGGCTGGTCCAGGCACAGGGTGATGCTTTGGCCATAGCTGTTAACTGGCAAAGGACGCCACAAGTGCAAGATGCACGAGCCAAAGGCCCCGAGGCAGTGTGCAGTAGGGCAGGTCCTGAAAATGGAAGTAATGAAGGCAAATACTGGTCCCAGGTTGAACTTTCTAATTGTTTAGCTCTCCCACCCCCCATCTCCCTCTCTCCTCCCGCCGTGTGTGTGTGTGTGTGTGTGTGTGTGTGTGTGTGTGTGTGTGTGTGTGTAACTCCGGTCACCAGGCCTGGTAGCGGTGCCTTTGCCCCTGGGGCCATCTCGCTGGCCCTTTTCACATATTTTGTTGGAATATTAGGCTGACTTATGACAGGCTTTTATGTAGCCCAGGCTGGCCAGGAGCTCACTGTGTAGCAGAGGATGATCTTGTACTTATCCCCCTGCCTCCACTTCAGAGTGCTGAGATCCCTGGCATGCATCACCAGACTCAGACGATGCCTTGCTGAGCTGGAACCCAGGGCTTCACACATCCGAATGAAGCTCGCTACCCGCTGAGTCACAGCTCCTCCCCAATTTCCCATATGGTTCAGGGCGGCCTTGAATTCCCCATTCTCCTTCCTCAGTCTCCTGAGTGCTAGGGCCCCAGGGGTGCATTAGTATTTTGGCTTTGGAATCCTGTTTCTAGAAAATGGTAAATTCGGGCATACACTTGGCTTTCAGCTATGGGCCTCTCCTGATGATCCGTGTAGAGAGCATTGGGTTGTGAGCAGGCTGATGGATAAAAAGAAGCTGCCAGCCTCCCAAGCTGTTTGGTCCCTGGAACCCAGACTCGGTCATTTGTGCTCTGGCCACTGCGATGCCTCCGTGTCCTGTGAACACACGAATGATGTGATAAAAATGCGCTTGCGCTCCGCCAGCAGGCGTCAGCAGTGGCAGCTCAGGTCCCCAGCAGTACCCTCTGCCTCTGCCCTCCCTCCCTCCCTGTGTCTGTCCGTCAGGGCAGGGTCCTTCCTGGGGAAGAAGTGCGGTAGGCCTTTCAGGTGGTGACACCCGTCGGAGTTGAAAAGACTGTTGTCAGAAACTGGATTTGCCGTGGGACGTTGGCTGGTGATAAGACGAAGAGTCTTGCCCCTGATAGGAGGACCCTCTACCACTTAGCTACACCCCTGCCTAAAATGGGTTTACTACATCAAACTACTGAACATCCTAGTCCTTCTTGAGGATGTAAAGCCAAAACTGTTACCACACACACACCCTTTCTTCCTATCTCTAGCCTTTGTTTCTTATAATTTTTGAAATGAATTATTTAATTTTTTTTTAAGATTTATTTACTTATGTATAGTGTTCTGCCTGAATGTATGCCTGCCCACCAGAAGAGGGCACCAAATCTCATAGATGGTTGTGAGCCGCCATATGATTGCTGGGAATTGAACGCAGAACCTCTGGAAGAGCCGCCAGTGCTCTTAATCTCTGAGCCATCTCTCCAGCCCCCTAATTATTTAATTTTTGAGACATGGTCTCTTACATAGCAGCCCTAGGTATATTGTGATTAAAGGCATGTGCCACCATGCCTGGCAAAAACCATTTTTATTTGCTGTATATGAATATTTTCCTGCATGTATGTATATCATATGTATGCAGAGCCCAAGAAGACCAGAAGGTGTTGGGTCTCCTGGAACTGGAATTACAGATGACTGTGAGCCCTGTGGGTGCTGAGATCTGAACCTGGTACCCCTGAGAGAACAGCCAGTGCTCTTAACATCTGGCCCATCATCTCCCACCCTCTTCCTTCCTTCTTTTTATGTAACCATGCTGTTCCAGGACTCGCTCTGTAGCCCAGGCTGGTGACAAATTCTTGATCCTCCAGCCTCAGTCTCCTGAGTGGCTGGGATTCGAGGGTGGATCCAAATGCCTGGCTCAAGGCTTGGTTTTATGGTAAGTTAGTGGAATGCTGTACTGAAAGAAATGTAGCCTTGTGACTAGAATATACTCCTAACTTTTTGTAAAGTCACAAAATCCTAAATCCTCCTAAGCTGGGGCCACCTGTTCTTTCAGAGATGACCAAGAGGGATGTGCCGGGCTTCGCCATTGGAGGTCTGAGTGGGGGAGAGAGCAAGGCACAGTTCTGGAAGATGGTGGCATTAAGCACCTCCATGCTGCCCAAGGACAAGCCGAGATACCTGATGGGGGTTGGGTATGTTGGGGCGGAGGAGACAGAGCCCTGAGCCCTGCTGTGGGGGGCAGATCCTGGGGTTCCCATTCCCTTTGGTGTGTACTTTCGGGAAGAAGGGGTTAGCATTACTGGGGAGCTAACGAGGTGGCACACAGGCACTGCCTGATGTAAACGACGTTCTGGGGGCATCCTCAGCTATGTAGGGAGTAAAGGCCAGCCTGGGCAATGTAAAGTACAGTCTTAGAACAAAAGTAGATAAAAGAGAGCACTGGGCTGTCACCTGAGGTCCACTTGGGGGTGGAGGGAAGCCTGGGAAACCTCCTGGGGCTGACTCTCTGCTCCTCACCCTCACGGCCGCACCCCAGCTATGCCACCGATTTGGTGGTCTGCGTGGCTCTTGGATGTGACATGTTCGACTGTGTGTACCCCACACGGACAGCGGTGAGGCCCGGGCAGGGGACTGGAGGGGTGGGAGCCCATGCCCCTCGTGATCTCGACCTGCCTTGTCCCCGTGCCCCTCGTGATCTCGACCTGCCTTGTCCCCGTGCCCCTCGTGATCTCGACCTGCCTCATCCCCAGCGCTTTGGCTCTGCCCTTGTGCCCACCGGGAACCTGCAGTTGAAGAAGCAGCAGTACGCCAAGGATTTCAGTCCCATAAACTCCGAGTGTCCCTGTCCCACCTGCCGGAAGTAGGTCTTGGAAGGTGGGGATTGGAGGGGGAGGGGCTCAGGCTCTGTAGCCGCTAACCACGTGACCCGCAGGCACAGCCGCGCCTTCCTGCACGCCCTGCTGCACAGCGACAACACGGCAGCCCTGCACCACCTGACCGTGCACAACATTGCCTACCAGGTGCGGGGGCAGGGCCCCGGGCAGGGAGGGAGGGGTCTTGGCTCTGAGGGCAGAGTTGGTTAGGCTGGGGGGGGCTCCTTTTTATTTGAGGGTGTGGTGTAGATGGCTCAAGTGGGGTTCCCTCTTTGGGGGTGTCATGAGTCTGGGCCCTAAGGACCTTTTGGGGGTGCCTCATCTAGAGGGTGTGGCCTGGACGGGCCCCTCAAACATGCCCTGTCTCGCTTTGCCTTGGGTTTATGATGTGGGGGCACTCTTGGCACACCGGTGCCTTGTGGGTCCTCCTGGGACTGATGCTGGTGCCCTCCCCCACAGCTGCAGCTGCTGAGCGCCCTGAGGAGCAGCATCGTGGAGCAGCGCTTTCCTGACTTTGTGCGAAACTTCATGCGCACCATGTATGGGGACCACAGCCTGTGTCCTGCCTGGGCTGTTGAAGCACTGGACTCCGTGGGAATCACACTCACATGACCTGGTTGCCCGGGGAGGGATGCTGGGCTATGGGGGATACTGAAGGATTCTTCTTTTAAAAAGATTTTTTTACTACTTTTTGTTTTCATCTGAGATCTTGTGTCTTCTTGGGAAGGTGGTCTGTCTGTCTTCCTCCTGGTCCCAGGCTTCACTGTAGATGGATGTCTTGCTGCTGCTTTGTAGGAAGTATCATAGGGGGTGCAGGAGAGCCCAGTGGTTAGGTATGTGTGAGGCGGCCCTGAGTGATCCAGGACGGAGAAAGAAAGGCAGAGTCCGGAAAGGTCGGAGGTGGCCCCGAGGCCTCGAGTTTAATCTGGTGGCTCTCAGCTGTAATCCTGGCTCTGGAAAGGCAGTCCTTAGAGGACAGCTGCAAGTTCAAGGCTAACTTGGTTTTCATAGCCAGCCCGGGGCACTGAGTAAGACCCCTTCCCAAAAAAACAAAACAAAAACGTAACCATAGCGCCAGTGGAGTAACTAGGAACCACCCGGTACAGCCCACCTTGTTGAGTGCAGTTGAAGACTCAGGGCTCCTTGTTTGTTTGTTTGTTTGTTTTTGTTTTGGAGATAAGGTTTCCCTGTGTATCCCTGCGATCTTGCAACTTATTCTTGAACTCAGAGATCCGCCTGCCTCTGCCTCCCGAGTGCTGGGATTAAAGGCATGCACAGCCATTTTTCTTTCTTTTTTTAAAATTTTATTTATTTATTTTTATTTATTCTTTTTAAAGATTCATTTATTTATTTTGTATACAGCATGTATGACTGCAGGTCAGAAGAGGGCACCAGATCTCATTATAGATAGTTGTGAGCTACCATGTGGTTGCTGGGAATTGAACTCAGGACCTCTGGAAGAGCAGTCAGTGCTCTTAACCTCTGAACCATCTCTCCAGCCCTCTTTCTTTTTTCTTTTTTAAATTAATATTATATGCATTGTGTTTTTTTGTTTGTTTGTTTCCTGTATGTCTGTGCGAGGGTGTTGGATCCCCTGGAAGTGGAGTCACAAGCAGTTATGAGGGACTGGAAATCTGAAAGAGCAGTCAGTGCTCCTAACCACTGAGCCATCTCTCCAGCTCCTCTTTCTTCCTTTCCCTTTCTTTTCTTTCTTTTTTTTTTTGTTTTTGTTTTTGTTTTTGTTTTTTCGAGACAGGGTTTCTCTGTGTAGTTTTGGTGCCTGTCCTGGATCTCACTCTGTAGACCAGGCTGGCCTTGAACTCACAAAGATCCACCTGCCTCTGCCTCCCAAGTGCTGGGATTAAAGGCAGGCACCACCACTGACCAGTTATCATTTTACAAAAGTAAAATGATAATTTATTAATTTAGATAGTTTTTTTGAGAGAGGTTCTCATGTAGCCCAAGGTTGTTATATTCTTTTTTGTTTTGTTTTGTTTTGGTTTTTTGAGACAAGGTTTCTCTGTGTAGTTTTGGTGCCTGTCCTGGATCTCGCTCTGTAGCCCAGGCTGGCCTCAAACTCACAGAGATCCGCCTGGCTCTGCCTCCAGAGTGCTGGGATCAAAGGCATGTGCCACCACCACCTGGCGCTTGTTATATTCTTTAGGAAGACCCTGAATCTCTGTCTTCATCTGTTTCTCTCTCAAGTGCTGGGATCACTGGTAGGCGCTCTCACACCTGGTTCATGTGGTGCTGGAGATCAAACCCAAGGCATCGTAGACAAGCACTGTGCCCAGAGTCACATCCCCAATCCTATGCATTTTTTTTTGTAGTTGCCATTTAATAGTATTCAGCCAACTCCTGACGTTCTGATCAAGTCTGCAACACCAAGTGCCAACCATAACCCCAAGTGTTTGAGTCATGTTCCATAGACAATGGCTTCTCTGTGGCTGGACAATTTCTCTCCAACTCCCACCAAGCCCACTTATAATATAAACACACAGACGCTTATATTATTTACAAACTGTATGGTCGTGGCAGGCTTCTTGCTAACTGCTCTTATAGCTTAAATTTATCCATTTCTATAAATCTATACCTTGCCACGTGGCTCGTGGCTTACCAGCGTCTTCACATGCTGCTTGTCCTGGCTGCGGCTGGCAGTGACTCCCTCTGCCTTCCTGTTCCCTCAATTCTCCTCTCTGTTAGTCCCGCCTATACTTCCTGCCTGGCCCCTGGCCAATCAGTGTTTTATTTTTTGACCAATCAGAGCAATTTGACATACAGACCATCCCACAGCACTTCTCCATTGATGATGCCTATTTCCTGAAAGTTCCAAGTTCCCACTGGTTTACACACATCCTCTCATTCCTCTGGCCAATAAGGCAAAAGAGAGTGGGCTTTGATGCTCTGATTTTTTTCTTTTTCTCTTTATAGCTAAGTCTTTCCCTCTGTCCTCCTTTCTCACAGCTTTAGCAGACCTGGGTACCACCTTCTGTCAGCTGCTTTCCAGAGTGTCCATTGCGCCAGCCTCCTCACTGGACTCCCTGCTCAGACACATCTGTGGCTCGAAGCATCAAATTACTACTGAGTAATCGTTTCATCCTGGCACGATGGTGCATGGCCATAATCCCTAAAGTCAAGAGGCTGGGGCAGGAGGATTGGGAGTTCCAGGACAGCCTGGGCTACATAGTAAGGGTCAGCCTGAGCTATACAGACTGACTCAAGTAAACAAAACCACCGGCTGGGACCCTGGCATATAAAAGAGCTCTTTGTTCATAATAAACTGGGTGTGGTGACTGGTGCCCGTAGTCCCAACACTTCAGAGTTAGAGGCAGGAGGATCTAAATTCAAGGCCACCCTCAGTTATACAAACAGCTTTGAGTCAAGGCCGACTAAATGAGGCTCTATCAAAAACACCACCATTCCCCCAAAATGCATCTGAGTATGGAGTCCAGTGGGCAATTAGAAGGTCTAGAAAGCAGTGAAGTTCAAGAAACAGGGAGACAACTGTGGAATATTGGCTTCTGCCTTAAGATGGCCCTGGGGTGGGTGGATCAGATCCCACCCCAGTAAAAACCCCAGGGTGGTCAGCCTGTGTAGTTCCCGCCCTGACAGGGTTAGCCAGCAGCCATTCCAGCCGAATTCACCAGTTCCAGGCTCTGAGAGATCCTATTTCAAAAAATAAGAGAGGGAAATGCCTAATGTCAAACCATGACCTCCACATGCACAGGGCAGTGCACCAAAGGCTCATAATTGTGCAAAAACTGGGGGCTGGAAATACGGCTCAGAGTGCTGTTCTTGGAGATTCCTGCAGTTCCGTTCCCAGCACCCATAGTCAGGTGGCTGACAAATGCTTCTAACTCGAGCTTCAGGGGATCCCATGCCCTCTTCTCATCTCATGTGCATATAATACACCCAACATACATAATTAAAAATAAAATAAAGGGGCTGGAGAGGTGGCTCAGCAGTTCAAAGCACTTGTTGCTCTTGCAGAGGCCTTGGGTTCAATTGTCAGTAACTGGTTCCCGGTGATCTGACGCCCTCTCCTGGTCTTGGGCCCTGCATGAACATAGTGAACAAAACATATATGTATGAGAAACACCACATGCGTAAAAGTGAAGTTTGGGGTTGGAGAGAACTCTACAGTTAAGGACATTTGTTGCTCTTGTGGAGGATCTGGGTTTGATTCCCAGCACCTATATTGTGGTTCACAACCATCCAGAATTCTAGTTCTAGGGGATCTGACACTTCCTGACTTCTGTGGACACCAGGCGCATTACATGGTGCACATAAAAATAAAATAAATCTTTAAATTCTTTAAAATGTTATTTAATGTAAATTTTTAAAAGATGTATTTGCATAAAATTATTTTTTTTATGTGCATGGGTGTTTTTCCTGGATGTGAGCTTGTGCATCATGTGTGTGTCTGATCCTGGTGGAGGCTAGAAGAGGATGTAAGATTCCTGGAACTGAATTACTAATGGTGGTGAGCTGTCATGAGGGTGCTGGGAACCAAACTCGGGTTCTCTGCAAAGCCGGTAAGTGCTCTTAACCACAGAACCATCTCTCCAGGAGCATTTTTTTTTTTTTTAAGTAAAAATAAGCCTAGGGTTGTAACCACTGGTAAAACACTTGCTTAGTTTAGCTTCATGAGGCCCTAGACTTAATCCCTATGAGCATTCAGGAACATGCACGCACGAACAAGTGGGTTCAAATAACCGCACTCACAGCCTGCTATGAGACTCATCTTCCACTGGCACTGGGACTCTTCTAGAGCTCGAGTCTGTGATCCTTTCTAAGATACAAGTTTTCTCCAGCGCTTAAGAACGCTTGCGTGACTGTCTCGGAACCATACCATGAGGTGTGGCGCTTCCTGGGTACAGTGAGTTTTTGCTTAAAAAGTATCACAAACTGACAACAAAAGCCAGGAAAGCTGGGAAGAATTCCTCTGACTGACAGACACAGCTGTAAATCAGTATGTGGAATCTTAGCAGGAGGAAGCCCGAGGCAGGAGGATCACCTCCAGTTTGTGGCCAGCCAATGGTTCAGAAACAGCAGAAAAAAAAAAAGGTTGCGGCTCTCTTTTCTCTTATTGGTTGGAGGAGCGAAGTGATATATCAACCAATGAGAAACTTTTACGGAACTAACTAATGTCAAGTGACAAACCAGTGTTTAAGGATGGATTCCTTACATCATTGGCAGGCGGACGTTTCCAGAGACCAATAGGACAACCCAAATCAGCCTAGTGAGCAGAGGCCTGGGGGTCTGCACGAGACCCCGCCTTCCGGGCGTGACAACCCGGTTTCCACTTCTATTGGTTTTCTCATATTACTGACAGTTCCACAACCCAATGAAATTGTGAGACTAGCCCTTCCTCGTGTCTTTTTTATTGGCTTGCATCTTTGAGTGGCAGCATTCTTGACCAATTGAAGGCAGCATTAGGAATCCGGGCTCCGCCCCAGAGGCTGGGCGGGGAGGTCGCTCGGGTCGGGTGTCGCCTGAGAACCGGATGAGGCGGCGACTGTGAGGCCGAGCCGGGAGCGGGCGTCGCGGCCAAGGGGAGCCCGGGCGGGCTGGCGGAGCGGAGCGGCAGGAAGCAACGGCCACAGACGCCTCGGGGTCGCGTGTCGTCGCCGGGGGAGCCGCGGGGCGGAGGCGGGCACCATGGGCAACCGCGGGATGGAAGAGCT